AACCCCACGGGTAACGTCCATAGGACTGGAAAGCGAATCAGAAACACGAACCGATACGGTCCGATGTCGGAGAAATGCTTCGATCCAGCCAAGCGCGAGGCCCCGAATACCGTGGTTATAGAGTTTCCTCAGTAGAATGTCGTGATTTACCCGATCGAAAGCTTTTGAGAAGTCAGGATAAATTACGTCCACCGCGTCACCATCATCAACTGCTCTTGTCCATTCTTCTCGTGCGATCAAATTGCAAATTGGTAGCGCAGGATCGCTTCTGTCGGAATCCATATTGATTTGGTGACAAAGCATTGTGCTTGCAGGCATGATTATATTGTTCTCATTCTGTGCTCCAGTGAAACTTCAAAGTTAAACTACCTCCACTATTCTTCTTATTAAACAATTCTATCTCAGCAAGTAAAACTTTTAAAGAACTTTACACATTTTGTTTCTTCTCTCTCACTCTTGTCTTATCAATAAACAGCCATCTATCGACCTGGTGTTGTATACATAAAACAACAATCCGTACAAGTCAGTAAGTTCAACAGTCGATCAATATCGATGTATAAACAACTAGTCACTTTCCACCCTCACGCCCGTAAATTAACCCTAAAGTGGAACATACGATTGCATACGTATCAAAACGAGCATTATTGTCTGTTTTTTTCTTATTTCAGCATTCTACAGAACTGAAAGCCCGGTACCTGAGACTATTCAAAAGGTGTTCAGTAAGTTGTTACTAATTGCCTGTCTGCCTGCCTGCCTCCCCCTTCTCTACCCCGCTACTTTCAACTATTGACCAACTTTGAACGTGGATTTTAGAACAGGGCAGAGTTTGAGTCGAATAAACCGTTTGCGATTGTTTGTTTTTTCCCTCAGTTACCCTGGGTTTTTTTAATATTTAGCTGCAAATCTCCATGAATTAGTTTGACGAAAACAACTCACTACTTACATTTTACCACAAATCTATTTTCAGCATACTATGTGTCCCGACCGGCAATCCCATTCAAACGCACCCCATTGTTCAGTAAGTTGTCTGACTCATTGTTTAGCTGACATGATTGTATGTATGCAGTCCGTAGAATTGTGTGCACTGAGATTAGTCTCATGTTTGAAACAAGCACTTATTGATTGATCACTGCTTCTCCTGTCAGCATGTCCATCCAGTTCAAATGAGCTCTGCTTTGATTGGTCTCAGTCGAAATGCTTTTCAGTCTGATTGAAGCTCATCATGTGTATATGAGTTAATGAGTCGAAAGATATCATTAGACTTAGATAGTCAATGTTTGAATTTACCCAATCGGTTTTTCACAGGCACCAAGCACTGTTGATGTTCGCTATGGGTCTCACTCCTCGGGAGATCGTTACGTTCGCACTGCTGACGAGTCCCAAACAATAAACAAAACAGCTGTCCATTGCTCTTTGTCTGTTATCACAAATAATAACACTAGATTGGTTGTTGTGACTCTGAATTCTGCGTTTGCTTCTCTTATAGCCTATTACGTATCTGGCGCACCCAAACAAACGGACTATGTGGCATCTGTCGGTAAGTTTAGCAAACCGTGTGTTTCCCAAGTACCTATTTGGCCCAAGTACAATTTGCATTACAATAGCCTCCAACCCAACCCCTACCCCCTCACAAAAATCCCACCCATATTGTTTCTCTTGTCCACTTTCAGAAAGCTACGTGACCGAATCACCTAAGGTCGTCCAAGTGTCCGCCTCATTCAGTAAGTGATCAAAAACAGACCGCCTGTATAAATTTGGTTCCGTCCCATTCACATTGTTGTTAACTTGACGTTTTCATGCACAAAGCGGCTTACAAAACAAATTCATTTAAGGTCAAAGTCAGACATGGGACATGTGTGTGTAGTTCTTTCCCCCATCCATCATATTCGATTCCAAACTAATGCACCTTCGATTAATAATCCCTTTTGTTTCTTTTTAGCTTACTACGTGACAAAGATCGCTCAGAAGATTGAATTTACTCAGGAATTCAGTAAGTCATACCTGGCATTTTATTTTTTATTTGCTATTCCGAAAGTTCACCAATCCTATCCTCACACTCGAAAGAATAATGAACAAATAGCTGAGTTAAAAGTGACCAACAGGACATTCGGAATCAAACCGCCCGTCATAGAAATTGTAAAGAATAAACGGGTTAACTATGATTGAGTGAATTCCCTGCAGTGAGGGATAAACTGATGACTGCATACCCTGTTTGTTTGTTTGTTTGTCGTTATTTGACTCGGGTTTAAAAGTAACCGATCAATACGACTTGTAAACTCTGTCTGTTTTAACGATGCCACTGTGCGTGTGTGTACAGAACAAAATTTTAAAAAAAACTTGATATTCACTTTTTCTCTCTTTCTCTTTGTCTTCCAGCCGCTTTCGCANGCTTTCGCAAAACCGACAAGCAAGAAGATAGAATACGATATTTCGTACAGTAAGTGTCATTCTTTTTTTCTACCACCCCACCCCACCCCCGCCTAAATCACCATTCAAAATGTTGTCCAAAAGGAAAATTCATTTAGCAATAGTTAATCGATCATTGTTGTTAGCCCTCCAAGGTCATCAATAGAAAAGACCTTGAAAGATAGAATTCGATAGCAAAGGCCAAATTCAGTTGCTCCGTTGCTGCCGACAAATGATCTATTGACGGTGAGGTGAAAATTATGAAATTTGTGAAATTTCGTACCCTAATAAATGACTCTTCTCACCTCGTCCAGAATCGACAACCAGAATTGAACTTCAATATGTGAGGGAAGTAATTCCGCTGAGACCGTTTTCCGATTTATGAGGACCTCTGAAGAAGGAACAAAGAAGTGTTGTGTTGTGTTTTTGTCCGTGGGGTGAGGATAGGATAGGTAATGCAGATGGAGAGGCGACGGGAGGGCAAGAAACGAAATGCTAAACGCAGTGGATGAATTGAGAATAAAAGACAGGATTTTTGCGAATGATTTTTCACCTGCAGATGTATGTACTCTAATATAGTACTACAGTCATTATGAAAGATACACGATCGAAAACCGGCACCAAACAATGTCGGAACTATTCGTCATAAGACCTATAAAATGTAGCAGGGAAAACACACTAATAACTGAAAAGTGAAATTACTTCACATCTGCTATTAAATCATCTGTCTGCATTTGAAACAAAAATCACCATCGAAGTACCTGCACACCGTTTTAGATGCAATCTGTCCATGTTTAAGCTCATTCCATTGAGAATTTTGAATATTTTACAGAACCTATTCTAATA